CGTCTTTGAAAGAGACTAGCCACTGGGGCTTGCCGTTCGGGTATGCGTTCGTGCGAATCGTCTCGCGATACTTGAAGATTTTGTCAATCGTATGCTGCGCGGTCTCGTGCGGGTTGCGGGGGGTGTACTTGCGGACGTTGCGGGTGTTTACGCGCGGGTGGATGTCCATCGTGGAGGGGAGATCAAGTAGGAGGACGGTGGGGCCGCACACTTCCAGTACGCGGAATGGGCCGTAGAAGGTGGGTGTCAGTTTCTTGCTCACTGCAGCTTTGCGTGACGGGGGGTTGAATGCGCGAGTGCTGAGAAGCACCAGGTCGTCTTTGGCGTATTCCGTGAGCTGGTGGCGACTGTTGAATGCGCGAGCTTGTGTCGCCTGCGCGGCTTGGAGCGCCTCAACAGCGTCAATGACCGAGGTGTCGAGATGGTCGAGGAACGCTGCGGCGTCCGCTGTGTCGACACCGGGCGACGCAGCAAACGAGCTGCTCAGCAGGCGCGGGTGAAAGCCCAGATCCAGCTCAAAGGGTGTCTTGCCTGTTGACGCCTGGACGCTGTTGTTGAAGGCGATCTCCAGGAGGGGTAGGAGTTCGGCCCAGTTGTTCTGTCGTGTATTCACGAAGTGACGGAGGGCCTCTTTCAGCGTGCGGATCTGGCGCTCCGTTTGGCCGTCGGTTTGGGGGTGGAAGGATGTTGACATCAGGAGCCGTACACCCAAGGCCTTGGTGATCGCGCGCCAAAACGCGGATGTGAAGCGGGAGTCGCGATCCGAGATGATGTTTCGAGGGAGGCCGTGGAGTCGGACCACATCACGGATAAAGACTTTGGCGATGTCGCTGGCTGTCGCGTTGTCGGTCGTCGGGCATAGGTGCACGCGCTTCGTCAGCTTATCCACGACGACGAGGATTGCGTCAAAGCTGTTGGAGACGGGGAGCTTGACTGCGAAGTCCATGGTGACTGTGTCCCAGCGTGTCGGCGGAATCGGCATGGGCTGGAGCATGCCCGTCGGGGCCGTGTTGGCTGGTTTTGCTTTCTGGCAAGAGTCGCACGAGGCGACGTACGCGTTTACCGCACGGCGCATCTTCGGCCAGAAGTAGTATCGCGCCATGGACAGGTACGTCTTGTCGACGCCGTGGTGAGCTGAGACTTTGGTGTCGTGGTGGTCGTGCATGATTGATTCGCGCAGCTCGTGCGCGGCTGCGGGGATGCACAGCGCGTAGGTGCCGAGTGACGGGCGCCTGATGTAGAGGAGGCCGTCTCGAGAGAGGTAGGGGGAGTGTTTATGTTTGCTCACCGCTGCCATCGAGGTGTCGACGTTGTGCTGCTTGCACTCCTCCAGGATGGGGCCGAAGTGCGGGTCGTCGGGAAGGAGCTTGCGGACATGGCCTTCCAGCTCTGTGTCGTTGCTGCACCGCCAGGCCACGAAGGCGTCAAGCGCGTCGTCGGCGGCTGGTGCGGGGCGTGAGAGGGGTGTGTCGGGGGAACCCAGGGGGGCGCGCGAGAGCTGGTCAACGTGCGCGTGGAGTTTTCCGGGCCGGTGTTTGATAGTGAGGTGCGGCCGGAAGTGTTGAAGTGCCAGAGCCTGACGGATGAGGCGTCCGTTGTCGCCCTTGTAGTCGAGGATCCACTGCAGGGCGGCGTGGTCGGTGATCAGCTCGATCTCGTCACCGTCGATGTAGGGCCTGAATCGGTTCAGCGCCCACACAATCGCGGTGCATTCGAGCTCGGTGGCGGAGTAGTTGGCCTCCGCGGACGTGGTGACGCGGGAGATGTATGCGATGGGCCGGTACTTGCCGTCCGTCCCGGGCTGGGAGATGACGCCGCCGAAGCCCTTGCGGCAAGCGTCAACTTCGACGCGCCATTGATGTAGATCGTAGCGGGGGTGGGCCATAACAGGTTCCGTGGCGACGAGTGACTTGAGGAGCTCGAACGCGGCCAGCTCGTGGGCGCTCAGAGGCGTGTACTTGCCGGTCTTGCGGGACGCTGTGATCTTCTCAGCAAGCGGCCGATTGATCACGGCGTGGTTCGGGATACTGGTGCGGTAGAAGCCGGTCAGGCCATGCCAGCGTTCCAGCATGGGAAGGGTGGTCGGGGGGGTTTGGTTGACGATCGCCTCAACGTTGCGGCCGATGATGCCAATGCCGATCGCCGAGACCGTATGCCCAAGGGCGTCCAGACTCTGGTGGAAAAGATGGGACTTGGCGGGGCCGATGGTGAGACCTGCCTCGATGAACTTGCTCAGGGTCCATGCGACGTGTTCAAGGTGTTCCTCGAAGGTGGTTGAGAAGACGATGACATCGTCGAGATAGGCTAGGGTCCAGCGCCATTTGCCGACTGCAAGTAAGCTGTCCATCATGCGTTGGAAGGTTGCCGGCGCGTTCTTCGCGCCGAAGGGCATGACGAGGGGCGCGTGCAGTCCACGGTGCGTGCGGAAGGCGAGTTTGTCGACCGAGTTGGCATTGACCGGCACCTGGTGGTACCCGCGGTTCGCGTCGAGCGTCGTGAACCAGGCTTTTCCTTCGAAGCTGGACAGGATGTCGTCCATACGAGGTAGGGGGTATTGGTCTCCTTTGGTCACGGTGTTGAGTTTGCGGTAGTCAATGCAGACTCGGGGCTTCCCATTCTGGGTGACGACGATCACGGGGCTGGACCACGGGGAGGAGGAAGGTTGAATCTGCTTGTCGGCAATCATGCGATCGAGTGCTTCGTCAATCGCCTGTCGCTGGCGTGGCGATGCGTGGTAGGGGGCCTGCCCAATTGGCTCGGAGTCGGCGGTGTCGACTGTGAACGTGGTGAGGGTGGTACGGCCAACAGATCCGTTCTGGGAAAAGGCCGCCGAGTGTTGGTGGAGTAGTCGGACGACTGCCGCACGCTGGTCTGAGTTCAGCGCCGGATTGATGTCGACGTCCTTCACAAAGGTGGTGTTGGTCGGCGGTGCAGCGTCGACAGAGGTTGGGGGTGGGGGAAAGGTCGGGTCGACTGTCATGGCGCGACCCACGATCTCGCCAGCGGCCAGCCGGACGGGGCGATCACGCATGTTAACGATCTCACCCATGAATGTTCCAGTTTCCGCCACTACGTGCGCGGCACGCACGGGGAGGTCACTGCCGTGGATCGGCACCGGGTGCATGATGAAGGGGGCGAGTGTCTGGTTTGCTACCTTGTCAACGACAAGCTCGACTCGTGCGCGGTGGTTGGGTAGCACCACGAAGGCTTCGCGCATGCGTACGGCGTGGGCGTGGTCGGCCGAGAAGGGCAGGCGGGCGGCGGGGGCGGAGAACGAGATTGTCAGCGTTCTGTTCCCGCAAAGCGTTGCTGTGCCGCGCCCGAAGTCGATAACTGCCTTGGCGGGGCCGAGTACGTCGGAGCCGATGAGTAGGCCTTCGGGGGCTGCTGAGGCGACGTACAGGCGTACTGGGAGCGTGAGCGGCTGCGTGCAGGGGAAGGTAACGGCGCCGTCGATGTAAGAGAAGACGGTGGACGCGCCGATACCTCGCACGGTGAAGGAGCTGCAGTCGGTCCTCGGTGCGTCTGGGAAGAGGCGGCGGGCGTCGGCCTCGCCGATGAGGGACACGCCGGCGCCGGAGTCAAGGATAGCCCTGACGGTCTTGCCGTTCACGCTGGTCACCGTGTAGGCGGGCGTGAATACGACACCACCCGGGACGTCGTCGGGCTTGGCGTTCTCGGGAGGGGGCTCGGCGAAGTTGGCCTCGGCCTCGTATTTGCGCGGTTGCGCGGCGCTGGGTGTCGGCAGGGTCGGTTGGTCGGGTGGGTGGTCCTCGTTCCAGTGGCGGCCGCCGCATTTGGTGCAGGGGCGCGGGGGGAACTTGTGGTACTTGCCATTGCGGTCGAGATATCCGGTGGCGTTCGGTCCCTGGACTACCTGTCCGGGTTTGAGGGGGTATCGTGCGTCCTTGTCGGAGCGATTAGCGATGGGAATCAGGTTGGGGTTGGTGGGGACGCCGGGGGCGGTCTGGGTGTGTGGGGTCGCCGTGGCTGGGGCGTGGGGGGTGTACTGGGCCTGGCTGGGGAAGGTGCGCCCGCGCGTATTGTTGTGCTGGCGGTTCGAGTTCTGTTCACGAGTGTCGGTCTTCAGGAGGACGGACTTGCGGACGAGGCGAGAGTGGAGGTCGTACAGGGGAGTGTGCACGTCGACGTCGGCCATCTCCACAAAGTCCTCAGGCAAGCCTTCCAGGATGTCATGGGCTAACATGTCGTTCGGGGCGGTGGGATACGCGCGGCGTAGCAGGGCCAGCTTGTCGTAGAAATAGAGGGAGATATCCTCGCCTTTGTTAAGACGACGCTCTCGGGCGCGTGTCGTCAGGTGGCGCTGGTAGCCGTGCTTGCGGAAGGCTTTGCGGAGTAACTCACACCAGGCTTCCCATGTGCGGAGCGCGGTGCGGTCGTCATGCGTGAGGGTGTTGAGCCATTTCTTGGCTGCTCCCTTGAGGACGAAGGGAAGGCGTTGGGTGACCTCACGGTCGTTAACGCCGGACTGATCGATGAGGGTGGTGATGTCGTCGATCCATTCGTCGATGTTGGCATCGCCGCCGTAGTAGTTCGGGATGTCGCCAGTGCGGAGGTGGAATGTGCGGGCGCGGGTCGGCGGAGTGTCCGAGGAGGAGGTGCTCGAGTGCGAGTCCAGGGGGCTGCGGACGCGGCGTGGGGGTGGCGATTGGGGGGGTTCCGCACCGATCCGGTACTGCTCGTTCTCCTCGGCCCGGCGGCAAGCGATGGCGTCGTCCTCTTCCTTGCGGCGTGCCATCAGCTCCACGATGGCTCTACGTTGGCGGGCTCTGACGGCGGCCTCGGCGGGGTGGTGGCTGGAGTGGTGGGAGGTCCGGCGGGAGCCGGTTCGGGAGGCGGCTCTGCTCCGCTCGAGTTGGGCGCGGAGGCGTTCGTTCTCTACCTCGAGGCGTAGCCTGTCGTTCTCGGCCCTGAGGCGGGCGAGCTCGGATGCCTGGTCGCGGGGAACGCTGGTCGCGGATGCGCTCCCCAGGCCGGGTGGCGGCGCGATTATCGTTGAGGGTCCTGCGGGCATGCTGGTATGGTCCGTGGGTGTATCCGTCGGGGAAGGTGTGGAACTCGGGGTTGCCAAGTCGGGAGGGTTACGTGGGCTCGCCAAGGAAGGTGCGTGGGAATCGGGCGAAGGGGGCGCAGATGACGTCACCGAGCGGTCCGAGTCAGGTGAGTCAACTGGGGGAAGGTGGCGGGCCGTCTGCGAGCGCGTTTCGTGAGCGGGTTGAGGGTGGCGAGACGGGCTCGGCAGGCACCCGGCGCAGCGAGGGGCGGGTGGGAATCGTGGGTGTGCGCCGGTCGGCGGGGGTCTATTAGAGGGGGGGGTATCTATGGGGGGTATGCGCAGGGAAGGCCGTAGTGGTGGGGCGGTGCACTGGCTGACGAGATAACCCCCGAACGGCGCGGGCGGCGTCATTCGGACTTGGCTAGCTGGCTGCTGCCTTGGCGCGTAGGCGCGGCGACGTTGTCAGAGGTGCGTTGCTCACCGTTGGGGGAAGGCTACGAGCCTACTCGTCCACCAGTGTAAGGCGAGAGAAGAGAATGAATGCAGAAACGGAGATACAGGCGTCAGCCTCCTAACGAGGGCCTATGACGGAGGAATGAATACGGAACCACGTGGCCTAGCCC